ATAAATAGCTTTTATTATTTTGAGATATGTTCTGTTGATACCTAGTTTATTCAGAGTTTTTACATTAAGGACTGTTGAATTTTGTTGAAGGCCTTCTCTGCACCTATTGAGATGATCATGTGGTTTCTGTCTTTGGTTCTGTTTATGTGGTGAATTATGTTTATAGATTTGAGTATGTTGAACCAGACTTGCATCCCCGGGATGAAGCCTACTTGATCATGGTGATATGCTTTTTGATGTGCTGTTACAATCAGTTTGCCAGTATTTTATTGAAGATTTTTGCTTCTATGTTAATCATGGATATTGGCCTGAAGTTTTCTTTTCATGCTAAGTCTCTGCCAGGTTTTGGTATCAGGATGATGTTGGTCTCATAAAATGATTTGGGAAGGATTCCTTCTTTTTGGATTGTTTGGAATAATTTCAGAAGTGGTACCAGCTCCTCTTTGTATGTCTGGTAGAATTCAGCTGTGAACCCATCTGGACCTGGGCTTTTTTTTGTTGGTAGGCTATTAATTGCTACCTCAACTTTAGACCATGTTATTTGGTCTATTCAGGGTTTTGACTTCTTCCTGGTTTAGGTCTGGGAGGGTGCAAGTGTCCAGGAATTTACCCATTTCTTCTAGGTTTACTGGTTTATGTGCATAGAGTTGTTTGCAGTAATCTCTGATGGTAGTTTGTATTTCTGTGGAATTGGTGGTGATATCCCCTTTTTTGTTTTTTGTTGCATCTATTTGATTCTTCTCTTTTTTTTATTAATCTGGCTAGTGATCCATCTATTTTGTTGATCTTTTCAAAAAACTAGCTCCTGGATTTATTAATTTTTGAAGGGTTTTTGTGTCTCTCTATCTCTTTCAGTTATGCTCTGATCTTAGTTATTTCTTGTCTTCTGCTAGCTTTTGAGTTTTTTGATCTTGCTCCTCTAGCTCTTTCAATTTTGATGACAGGGTGTCAATTTTAGATCTTTTCTTGATTCTCATATGGGCATTTATTGCTAAAAATTTTCCTCTAGATACTGCTTTAAATGTGTCCCAGAGATTCTAGTATGTTGTGTCTTCATTCTTGTTGGTTTTGAAGATCTTTATTTCTGCCTTCATTTTTTATCCAGTTCACATTCAAAAGCCAATTGTTTGGTTTCCATGAAGTTGTCCAGTTCTGAGTTAGTTTCTCAATCCTGAGTTCTAATTTGATTGCACTGTGGTCTGAAAGACTGTTATGATTTCCCTTCTTTTGCATTTGCTAAGGACTGACTGACTTCCAATTATGTGGTCAGTTTTAGAGGTGTGATGTGGTGCTGAGAAGAATGTATATTCTATGGATTTGGGGTAGAGAGTTCTGTAAATGTCTGTTAGATTTTCTTGGTCCAGATCTGAGTTCAAGTCCTGGATATCCTTGTTAATTTTCTGTCTCTTTGATCTCTCTAATATTGACAGTGGAGTCTAAGTCTCTGTAGGCCATTAAGAACTTGCTTTATGTATCTAGGTGCATATATATTTATGTATTGTGTATATTGCTTTATGTATTAGGTGCGTATATATTTAGGATCATTAGCTCTTCTTGTGGCATTGATCCTTTTACCATTATGTAATGCCCTTCTTTGTCTCTTTTGATCTTTGTTGGTTTAAAGTCTATTTTATCAGACACTAGAATTGCAACTCCTTTTTTTTTTCTCCTCCATTTGCTTGGTAAATCTTCCTCCATCCCTTTATTTTGAGCCTATGTGTATCCTTACACATGAGATGGGTTTCCTGGATACAGCACACCAATGGTTTTTGACTTTTGATCCAATTTGCCAGTCTGCGTCTTTTGATTGGGCCTTTAGTTCATTTACATTTAAGGTTAATATTGTTATGTGTGAATTCCATCCTGCCATTTTGATGCTAACTGGCTGTTTTGCCCATTAGTTGATGCAGTTTCTTCATTGCATCAATGCTCTTTGCCATTTGGTATGTCTTTGGAGTAGCTGGTACTGGTTGTTTCTTTCTATGTTTAGTGCTTCTTCCAGGAGCTCTTGTAAGGCAGGCCTGGTGATGATGAAATCTCTGAGCAATTGCTCGTTCTTAAAGGATTTTATTTCTCCATCGCTTATGAAGCTTAGTTTGGCTGGATCTGAAATTCTAGGTTGAAAGTTCTTTTCTTGAACTTTCTTAAACGATGTTGACTATTGGCCCCCACTCTCTTCTGGCTTGTAGGGTTTCTACTGAGAGATCTGCTATGAGTCTGATGGGCTTCCCTTTGTGGGTAACCTGACCTTTCTCTCTGGCTGCCCATAGCATTTTTTCCTTCATTTCAACCGTGGTGAATCTGATGATTATGTGCCTTGGGGTTGCTCTTCTTGAGGAATATCTTTGTGGTGTTCTCTGTATTTCCTGGACTTGAATGTTGGCCTGCCTTGCTAAGTTGGGGAAGTTCTCCTGGATAATATCCTGAAGAGTGTTTTCCAGCTTGGATTCACTCTCTCCATCACATTCAGGTACACCTATCAAACGTCAATTAGGTCTTTTCACATAATCCCATATTTCTTGGAGGCTTTGTTCATTTCTTTTTACTCTTTTTTCTCTAATCTTGCCTTCTCATTTTATTTCATTGAGTTGATCTTCAATCTCTGATATCTTTTCTTCTGCTTGGTTGATTGGGCTATTGAAACTTGTGTATGCCTCATGAAATTCTTGTGTGGTGTTTTTCAGCTCCATCAAGTCATTTATGTTCTCTAAGCTGTTTATTCTCGTGAGTATTTCATCTAACATTTTTTCAAAGTTCTTAGTTTCTTTGCATTGGGTTAGAACATGTTCTTTTAGCTCAAAGGAGTTTGTTATTGCCTACTTTCTGAAGCCTGTTTCTGTCAATTCATCAGACTCATTCTCTATCCAGCTTTGTTCCCTTGCTGGTGAGCAGTTGTGATCCCTTGGAGGAGGAGAGGGGTTCTGATTTTGGATATTTTCATCCTTTTTGCATTTGTTTCTTCCCATCTTTGTGGATTTATCTACCTGTGGTCTTTGTAGTTGGTGACTTTCAGATGGGGGTCTCTGAGTGGACATCCTTTTTGTTGATGATGAAGTTATTTCTTTCTGTTTTTTAGTTTTCCTTCTAACAGGGCCCTCTGCTATAGGACTGCTGGAGGTCCACTCCAGACCCTGCTTGCCTGAGGATCACCTGTGGCAGCCTCTGCGTTCTCGCTGGGAACTGCATTCCAGAGCTGTTCCTATTTGTCCATCTTGAAGAACAGTCATAGCTGTGCTTTTTAACATATGTTTACGGCTGGTCTCATACTACAATGGCAGAGTTGATTGGCTGTGACAGAGACCATTTTGCCACAAGTTAGTTTCAAAATGGAAAGGTATGACAACCTTTGGAGTATGTATAAAAGCTGATTGACTCAAATCTCAATTTTAAATGTTCAAAAGCTACCCCAATTGGAAAATACAGTTCACCAAAGAAGATATACAGGTAGCAAATAAGCCCATACAGGATGTTCAACATTATTAGTCCTTAGAGTAATGCGCATTAAAACCATAATGATATGAATACATATCCATTATAATGGCTGAAATTTCAAAATTAAAAAAACAGCAATAATGTTGAGATGCTACAGAACAACAGGAAATGTCATATACCTCTGGTTGGAATGGAAAATCAATTCAAATACCTTGGGAAATAATTCAGCAGTTTTTTTTTTTAATTTTTTATTGCATTTTAGGTTTTGGGGTACATGTGCAGAACATGCAAGACAGTTGCATAGGTACACACATGGCAGTGTGTTTTGCTTCCTTTCTCCCCTTCACCCACATTTGGCATTTCTCCCCAGGCTATTTCTCCCCAGCTCCCCCCCCGCTGGCCCTCCTCTTTTCCCCCCAGTAGACCCCAGTGTTTAGTACTCCCCTCCCTGTGTCCATGTGTTCTCATTTTTCATCACCCGCCTATGAGTGAGAATATGCAGTATTTCATTTTCTGTTCTTGTGTCAGTTTGCTGAGAAGGATGTTCTCCAGATTCATCCATGTCCCTACAAACGACACGAACTCATCATTTCTGATTGCTGCATAATATTCCATGGTGTATATGTGCCACATTTTCCCAATCCAGTCTATTATCAATGGGCATTTGGGTTGATTCCAGGTCTTTGCTATTGTAAACAGTGCTGCAATGAACATTTGTGTGCATGTGTCCTTATAGTAGAACGATTTATAGTCCTTTGGATATATACCCAGTAATGGGATTGCTGGGTCAAATGGAATTTCTATTTCTAAGGCTTTGAGGAATCACCACACTGCCTTCCACAATGGTTGAACTAATTTACACTCCCACCAACATCAGCAGTTTCTTAATAAAGGAATACCAAGGGACAGGAAAAGACTTTGATGGATGATCAACATGCTAACTCTCGATTATGGTGACAGTTTCTCATGTCCATGCAACTGCGCATTTTATATATGTGCAGTCTATAGTGTGTCAGTTATACCTCACTGAAACTATCGACTGCTGGAACAATAATCTAAGACACTGGGTGGGACACAGAGAAAGAGAAGGGTAAAAGCGATGCAGGATAAAGCTAGAAGATTCAGATCTCTAACCTTACAGCAATGAGTAGTAGCAGCTGAGTTATAAGCAAAGGAATCACATGATCAGATCCGAATCTTTAAAAACATATCATTATGATTGCAGAGTAGACCATGGTTTTAGGAGGTAGGGCATTAGGGAAAAGAGTTCTAGGATTCCTAAGATTCCTGCAGCATTCCAGGTGGGAAAAAATGGTAACCTGACATTGGGGGAAGGCATAGGAGAGAAACAGAGCCCACAAAATGACTGGGAGTGCCATTCACACCGAGAAAAGTACAGTGGAGTTATCATAGCTCTTTGGTGTACAGTATACATTTGTTCTCTTTTTACTTTAACACTGAGCATATTTCTGAGATGAGCTTCACTATCATGCATCAGTTCTCAGCAATGTATACACACATTACTGCAGGACACATTAAAAGGCCTTGCATTTATGCAATGGTCCTACCTTTACACCTCATTCTAAGTTGTTCAATCCACAACAAAAAATTCTCATAAGTAGAGTCAGACAACTTGCATTCTGAGTCTGTTTCAGATGGTCGCACTGAGTCAGCAAAGTCAGCCCCAGGATGTATTTGGTTTTTGACCTATGAGATAAATAATACTGTTTCACAATGTCCTAGAAAGATTTATAACATGTGCTAAATGTACAGAAGTGGTATTTCTCCACTGTTTTTTTGTATGAGCAAAAACACAGTTACTTCTTAAAGAAACAGATTGTTCTTAGAAGGTACAGTTATCAATGGCTGTTTTTAAATTACTTTTTCTAAGCAAACAGCTTTATAACAAAACATTCTTTTTTTCCACCTTACTTTTAAATGTTTTTTTAAATAATATTTTAGATCATTTACTTTTTTTACAATACCTGGCTCTTTTCAGTAGATGTTTTATTTTCAGCCCTGAAAAAAGAAACAATTCCTATTAGAAAAATAGCAAAGATGTAAAATATAAAGCATATCTAATACTATTGTTTTATCATATAAAATATCTGCATTTGTATTACTTCTGCTATTCATCAAGTGCACAGGTAATTTTTTTTACAGTTAATGCAAAATACAGTAATTTTCTACAACGGACATTAAATTATAAACAGAAACATTGACATTAAGGGATAAAAAAATTTAGCACACCACAAATAATTAAATTTAGGTCCAGCTTTCTGAGAGTAAAACCAAAAGAAAAAAACATGTTACCTGCATTATGTGATAAAAAGATATACATCAGGTTCTTCTCATTGTTGTCCTTTTCAATAAAAACAGTGTGTACAGGCCCTAAAACCTATTTGGAAAATATTACTCACATTCTTATATAAGAGAAATCCCTTTTTTAATGATGATATGTTAGCTTTTTCTGGACTTACTATGCAGGTACTATGCATCATTCTAAGCACTGTCCATGTGTCAAGCTCATACAATCCTTTTAACAATGTGAGGTTGGTAATACTGTGAGGTTGGTAACATATTAGGTATTTTATAAAGAAAGAAAATAGGCACAGAAAGGCCCCATGACTCTCCTCAGCCGATACAGCTGGCCAGTAGCAGACCCAGCACTCAAACCCAAGAATTCTACCTCAAAAACATGTTTCATGAGATGCTGTAAAGGTAACCTTTATTTTCAAGTGTTTTAAAGAGATATGACAGCAGATTAATCCACACTGTCATTCCATTTCTAACTACAACTATAAATAATAATTTCAGAATCTTGCAATTTTTTTCTAATAAAAAAATTGTATACAGAGGCAAGTTTGGAAACCTACTTTCAAAAAAACTAAAAATCATTTTTAATGAAATTCATCAATAGGCATTCCTTCATGTATTCACCCATTAATTTGCACATTTAACAAATAAATACTAACTGAGCACACAATACATCCTGATGTCAATGCTGGTCCAGGGAAACATGGTGTTTTGATACTTTAGAACTTTAGAATCCACTGTGGGTCAACTTGATTAAATGTTTTTTAAACTCTATAATCAAGAAGTAATAATCTGTGATAGACTGTCAACAATTAGCTTTTCTAAAGTACTTGAACAAAACCCTCCCCTTCTCCCCAGAAACTAAACAACTCTAAAGTTGATACACCTGACATTTTAGAGTACCTTAGCAAATCATACCTATTCATCAAGGGATGTTGAAATTCTGTTCAGTATGGCCTAAGTGTTCGCATGTTTATAATTTCACAATTTAAAAAAATTTATATATAACAGTTTGAATTTTAGTTCACATTTACATGCTCAGTTAGACTAATGATACATTTCTGAAGCAATGCTGAAAGAACAAACTCTTACCATAAAACTCTACATGAATAAACATTTTAAGGACAATTAGTTGCTAAAAGCCTATAAAAGATAATGAGTCAAGCTTTCAAGCACTGAGACATGCAAACAAAACTAAATCTCATAAACATGCTCTTCTTTCATGATCATTACCAGCATCATACAAACACACTCTCAAAGCTTCTATTTTTAAAGAAAAAAGAAAGAAAAGTCCCTGAATTCCATATTCTTCTTCAGTTATCACCCATTTCTCTACTGTCTTTCCCAGGAAACATTCCCTCAAGGGGTGTCTATGCTTATCCACGATAGTCAGGGTTCCACAGCAATTATTTATTGAAACTGCTCCTTGTCAAAGTCACCAGCCCTCAGAATAATCGGTCTTTCAGCGTTGATATAGTTGAGTATCCTCTAGCTTTGGCAGTCTACACTATTCCATTTCCAGAAAAAGTAACCACTGCAAATGTTCCTTCTCAGAGAAATAAAGAACGTTTAAATTTTACCTCCTTTCATCCTCATCTATTTCACTTAAACCACTGTCATCATCTACTTGCAGCAGACCATGAGTTACTAAATTAGCCTTCTCAAACATTGGTGTAATCACATTATTTTGAGGTCCATTTTTTATTTTCATTTTTCTTTACTTCCTTCATATGTAAGGCAGAACCACAACTTTTAAAAAAATCTGGCCAGGTGCAGTGGCTCACGCCTATAATCCCAGCACTTTGGGAGGTAGAGGCAAGTAGATTTATAAGGTCAGGAGATTGAGACCATCCTAGCCATGGTGAAACCCCGTCTCAACTAAAATACAAAATCATTAGCCAGGCATGGTGGCCATGCACCTGTGGTCCCAGCTACTCAGAAGGCTGAGGTAGGGGAACCACTTGAATCCAGGAGACAGAGGCTGCAGTGAGCCAAGATTGGGCCACTGCATTCCAGCCTGGCAAAAGAGCAAGACTCTGTCTCAAAAAAAAAAAAAAAAAAAAATCTATAAAAAGCCAATGTTTTATAATAATTCTACTGATAACACATAAAAAACAATTTTGCAAAATTTCAACTCTTCCCTATCTCAAGTCATTAATTTAAAAAACACAGTTATAAATTACCAACATAAATAGAAATATATATTTCCTGCCTCAGAAAACAAGTAATATACAATTACGATACAATGTGTCATTTACGAGTTGATATATGAAAAGTTATATTTTAGCACAAGAAAGGCTTTACAGAAGAGGCAAAATAGGAGCTCACCAGGGAAAAATAGAGAAAACGACTCCACTCGGAGAACAGAATGACAGCACAAAGATTAGTCCCATGGAGTCTAGGTGTTTCCTAGGAACTTGCAAAGAAGAGTGTAAAAACACAAGGAAACTAAGACTGGAAGATGAATGCTACATCAGACAGCTGGAGCATACAGACAATGACTCTTAGACATGAAACTCGTAATTAGATCTGTTCTATGTTTTGGGTTTTGTTTTTAAATAGAATAATATTTAAACAGTTTAAACAAGGTTTTAAAAATAACAGGTACATATTACATTAAAGAAATCAGGAAAATGTCTTGGGAAGAAAAAAATCTTACTGATAAAATTCTTAAATGTCAGTACCCCAAAACCTAAAATCCAATTAAAAAAAAAATTCTTAAATGTCAGTGTATAACAGTTCAAAAATAGCAATATTTTTATTAGTTACAGAAGTTTGTTTGAAAATAATTTGGTAAATTTTCCATATGTTTAGTCTAGTTTTTAGTCTTAACACAGAAAGCTGAATTTGCCAGCAGAAAATTGTAATGACTTTTTAACGAAGTAAACACATGGCATCACTACCGCTGCATGGAACAGAAAGTGAACAACAACAACAAAATAGATGAAGGAATAAAAAAAGTGTCACTATCATACAGCTACACACATTAACAAAGAGACAAACATTTACCACTGGAGATTATGTTAGGAGTTTAGCAGAAGCCTCTGAAAATACCAAAAACTGAAACAAGATAATAATTGCTGTTTGCTTTTAACTATGTAGAGAACTCTCTGGTTAAGACTAAACATCAAAAAAAAAAAAAAAAAAAGAGAGAGAGATCTTGCTGAGACCAATTATTAAACAATTCCTCTTGACCCATACATCCAAATTAATTACATAGTTCTGGAATATGAAATCATTTTCATTTCGATCATAGTTGATGGAAGGCAACTTTTAAATAGAAAACTGCAGTTTAAAGTTGCCTCAGACTTAAGAAAGAACTGACCTGTAGCATGGTAGTAACAAGCAACCACCCACAGCCAGTTCTAAATCCAGTCAACCAATCAACCAGCATCAATGTGGGCCACTTGCTTCTGAAAGACAGGCAATCAAACACAAACTTACTCCAATCCACAAGCCTGGGAGTGCTGACCAACCCACAGCAGCCTCGCTCACATAGCCATGTTTCTCCAGATCATGTCAACCCTCTTATGCCCTGAGAGTCTGCCAATCCTTCAAGTCCCCTCCTCCCACCACCCTTTGTAAGAGCCACAGCTGCTCAGAGTGCCTGATCAGCACAGCTCTCTGAGGGTAGAAAGCAATACATTCCGACCTGGTCTTTTAACTTCAAATACTGAAGGTTCATAATTGCTTGGAAGCAATTTTTAAGTCCATTAAATTTACCACCCTTATATTTCTTTATAAATTACCAGTGAAGTTTGTAATTCCTTTGATCCATTTTATCATAAGTAAAACTATCATGATTATTACTAAAACAGTAAATACTGAGTAACCACAATATTGAGCTTTACTCTCTAAATAAAAAACTATTAATATAAAGAATGCAGCCTATTATAAAGAGCTAAAAAAAATCCAAAAAGGCATATAATTGCCAAGCAAAAGTGTTAGAATGAACCCATGTCAAACCTTTTTAAATTTCTTTTCTTTTTTTTTTCTTTTCAGACAGACTCTCACTCTGTCACCAGGCGCCAGGCTGGAGTGCAGTGGCACAACCTCGGCTCACCACAACCTTCGCCTCCTGGGTTCAAGCAATTCTCCTGCCTCAGCCTCCTGAGTAGCTGGGACTACAGGTGCACACTACCACGCCCAGCTAATTTTTTGGATTTTTAGTAGAAGACGGGGTTTCACCATGTTGGCCAGGATGGTCTCGATCTCTTGACCTCGTGATCCACCCACCTTGGCCTCCCAAAGTGCTGGAATTACAGGCATGATCCACTGTGCCCGGCCTTTCTTTCTTTTTTTTCTTTTTTTACATGAGATCAGTCTAATGTTTTTAAAATACACCAAAGGGTAAACTTCACTTGCTCATTTAGTATTTGTTGAGTAGCTACTTATTGCATGCTAGGCCCTTTTCTAGGCACACAGGATATGGTAGTGAACAAAAATCCTTCTCATGAGAGTGAAATAAACACACAATGACAGTAGATAGATTAGGCAAATATATGTTAGAGGGAAAAACTGAAGCAGAAAAACGAAATGTTTACAGGTTTGAGAGGAGAAGTGGTGAGAATTTTAGGATGGCCAGAAATGTCCTGACTGAGAAAGGGGCTTTTAAGTAGAGAACAGAAGGAATGGAAGGAGAAAGCCAGGAGGCTATCTGAGGAAAAGGCATCCCAGACACAGGGAACTGCCCAGTACAGAGG